CGGCCCGAAATTTTTGCGGCCCACCGAGCATCTGCCCGCCTGCCCTATCCGCTACTGATTAGCTCCTTTTTAAACCCGATTTATCATGAAGGTTTAGAACAACCTTCCCGAAGGTTAGAACAACCAACCCGATTTATCATGAAGGTTAGAAGGTTAGTTAAATTCAGCTAAAAAACGCCCAGCTTTTAACACTTTCCCCCTCATTCAGCTTGAGTGATAAAATCACTGAATACTGGTTGGACCCTATACAAACCTCAGCAAACAGGCTGACTGAATGGGAAGTTTTTTTTTTTTCCTTCTTCTATGTATGACGTAAATACGAGCCACTTTCCCTTAAAATAACTTCCACAAAAGTATCCATCCCCTTCAGCAGATCGCTTTCGCGCGCTTTGCCACATTCAAGTAACCTAACCACATTGCCATCAGTGTAAAAAAAGGAAATACAATAGACATTTTTAAAAAGTGCATGATATGTAAGTAAAAAGCTCTTGGTATGCAGTTTTCAGATTAACCCTTACAATAATTTTAAGCTAAACAATTACCGTAGGTCGCCTACTTAGTTTAAGAAATAGTTCCTTCTCCAAAAATTAAAGATATATAATTTGAAATCTTATATTTGCAATCAGTTTGTAAAAATGGCAAAGCTAAATAGTAGAAAAAAAGTTTTGATATTTTCTCATAGTAATTTTAACTTACATGGTGATTTATACGTTTTTTTTTTTTTTTTTTTTTTTTTTTTTTTTTTTTAATTTCGTAAAGAGAAGTTTTATTTATTTAAGGTATAGGTATACTTTTATTTCACTGTACAGCTTCCACACAAGATTTGTAACAAATATCACCCTAAAGTGGTAATACGAGTATTTTCTCTTTTACAGGACACTTACATAAAGTGATAAACGCATTTTTAGAGATTTTTTTTTTAATCCAAAAGAGCTATTTGTCTTGACACATGATTTTGCATTGAATCACTTTAAATATCATGCACTGTAAATGTGTTGTTTCATTTTCAATTCAGACTCTTCCCATTCGGCAAAATGTAAGAGCTTTCAAATTTAATCTCTCCTGTTACTGATTAAGAAACTAAGTTATTTAAAAGCAATAGATGCAGTTCTTAAATTACTGATATATTTAACTTATGAGTACTGTATATTTTTATAAAATTACGTTATACATTTTTTCACTTTTCATATACACAGAAGATACATGATGTTCTCGATGTATATGATATAAGATATGTAATATGTTCGCAAAGATATATGATGTTCTAGTTTAAATCGTGTATTTATCTAGTATCTTATAAAATGTTTCGCTAGTATATCTGGGCCATCTGTATTAATAATCTCATATATTGACAAACCATATCAAACTTAGAACCTTTTGGGCAACCGTTAAAATTTGAAACCTTTCAGATTATTATTTATTTATTTATTAAGTATCATAACATTTAGTTTTTTGATACACTGTGAAATTTGTCAGAGGAATTATGGACAAGAAAACTAGTATTTTGAAATTCCGAATTCTCTTGGAAGTAAGCCAAATTCAGGATGAGAAGCCTCCTATGATTTTGAATACAACTGTGATTTTCTAAATTTAATGATGCAGAAGAAAATTGAAGATTTATTGAAGAAGTGATGAACAATTTCCAGAGAGCTTTAAAGACTTCTCCGGTTATCTTTTATTCCAGAAATTGTATTTCATTAGATCGACACATAAAAAAATTACCTCGGCTTGCATTTTGAGTTAATTTCTTTTTACATAAAACGAATTTAAAAACAGAAAATTAATTTTTCATTTAAACAGTATTTTAAATATGATACTTTTTTGGCAAAGTGCTGCAAATTTTATCTTTCTCGAACAAAAGGAATTATTTCGCTATATCATCCATTCATCATTAGTTAATATCTGCTGTGCAGTTATTAAATGAATCAATGCCAGAGGTGAATACTTAAATGCTTTAAATCCATCTTTTTAAAATTTTCATTTTCTAAAGTTGGACAAGAAAGTTTAAATGTCGCAGGTAAACTCTATAAGTTAGACAAATTTTCGAAATCATGGCGGTAGAATTCGATAAAAAAGCTACCTGGAAAACAAGAATTTGACAGTCCAACAGGCTTGCAACAGATTTTTTCTATTGAATTTTATTATTCCTTTGCAGACTTACATAATGTTTATGAAGAAATGTAATCTTTAAAAAAGTCGTAATGCTCTGAGATGCGGCAGAAGAACAAAGAATATACGCGGAAAACTATTTTTAAGATGGAAATCAAATAGTTTTAGCTCTGGAGAATTTATGCTCAAATTGACAAAAGATTTAGCGTTTTATAATTCTCATTCTGTTATTTGGCATCGCTTGGTATCATAATAATGCAAGGGATAAACCAACTAGAGTCTTTCATCTTTTTTTTTCCTCCATGTCTGAAGCGACTGAAATGATGAAAAACGTGTGACAAATTATACTAATGACTTTCTTAAAATATCTAACAAATTAGGATAAAAAATCAAAAGTTAAAATTTTTATGAAAAAAAAACATAGGTGGATGTGGAGATGAATAACGGAAATAATGCAACAAATGCCTTTCTTTTTATGCTGATTATAGTTATTCTAAAAAAAATGCTACCTCCCACAAAAAAAAGCAATTATCTAAAGTAGATAAAAATAAAAATTGTATAAATAAGCGATGTAATGTTACGAGGAATTATGGCTTTCTCCCACGCGGGCTGTCATGGTGTAAGTAGTAAAAGCATGCCCAGGTAGCAAATGGAAGATTCGTTGTTCAAGTCCCAGGGACAGTTGATTTTTCCTATTTCGCTTTGAAAAACCTAATGGTCTGTAGAATATAACCTGCACAGCTATATATGAAGCTATAAAATAATGTAAGACCATCATAAATAAATAAATTTCTTCGAAACTCTGGAATTTAGGGAATATTTTTACAGTCGCATAGACCCTGTTGCCTTTCCAAGAGTCAAGAATTGTCGACCGCGTTTTCAGAAATTATTCGTGAATTACATACGCACGCCAAACTGCATATTGAGCCCAACTGTACACACAACCCAAACTGTATACTGAGATCAAATCAAAGTATTCACTATGCAAATTTAAATCTTAACCACTGCCGACGAAAACCCCTGGACCCCTGGAAGTTTATTGATACTAAAAAACTGAGAGCTGAAGTTTGTTTAGATATGCTGTGAGAAAATGCATTACATAGTACAATTTTGATAATATTGAGTGAAGTAGAAATATGGTTGTATATTTGAACACATATTAGATGGCAATATTACGGACAGCGTAAGAGAGATAACAACATTACGGCCAGCGTAAGAGAGATAAGTCCACTGGAAACTCAAGTAGAACAGTGTAAATTTAAATCTTAACCACTGCCGACGAAAACCCCTGGACCTCTGGAAGTTTATTGATACTAAAAAACTGAGAGCTGAAGTTTGTTTAGATATGCTGTGAGAAAATGCATTACCTAGTGCAATTTTTATAATATTGAGTGAAGTAGAAATACGGTTGTATATTTGAACACATATTAGATGACAATATTACGGCCAGCGTAAGAGAGATAAGTCCACTGGAAACTTAAGTCTTCAAAAAGAACAGTATAAAATACTATACGTAAAAATACTTGCTGTTTCGAATATTTTAATCATTATCAATGCTGCTGCATCAGTATTACTGCAAGTCTTCTGGGATATTTTTTCTTCCTGAATATTTCCTATTAGAAACACCGTTTTCTACTATTTCTCACAGTAAGCAACAACATCAGTTATAACATAAACGATCAGTTTCAATAAAAGTTAACGCCTGCATTGCAACTGTAACTTGCTACTGCATGTTTAATATCACTTTAGCTTATGATATAAGGTGGGACACGTGACCGGCGATAAAAAATAAAGAAAAATGCTTCATGTTTATTATACGATTAGGTCCGGATCAAGTTTTCAAAAGCCCTAAGCACATAAAAGGATTTTGATGCCCTCACAAACATTTAGACCTTTATCCCCCCTCCCATTTTTTTTCTCACTAGGTTTGGTTTAGCAGCATCACACAGTGATTCAAGAATTACTAGAGCATAGGAAACTTTCAAGCATTTAATGATAACAATTCAGCTCTTACACCAAAATTATTCTTTTTAATTACTTAAATGTCATGGTTTTAAATATCACGTTGGGGTGTAGTGTAGCAGGCCTCCACATGGGGTAACGCAAAATCTGCTACTGCTACTGCCGCTCTCCTCGAATCTTCTTTTGTGATGCATTCGAACTTTAATACCAACCATCCTTTTAAGCATTTGCAACGACTGAGAGTTCTCCAGTGGAATGCTGGTGGCATTTCTCACGAAAAAAGAATTCAGTTGCTGACTATTCTAAACTCTTATGGTAATGTTTTTATTATTGTTGAGGCTAATTTGTCTCAAGAATGACTGAAATTCTACAATTTTGGATATTATTATCTTAGAATTCTTCCCATATCAAGAAGAATCGCTAGTGGTATTTTGGTTGGTGTAAAGAATGGCCTGATTTCTGATTTTCATGAAGTTAGTGATCTCTCCTCATACAACGGAGTACAATAGTAAAACTGGATGGGTGGAAATGGAAGAAACACTTTAAAAGTTATGGGTGTTACAGTCTACCCCCAGTAACACCAAACATGACTTTAGCTCAACTCTCTCCAGTAAAACAATTCTTTGTGGCTATTTTGATGCCCATAGTCAACTGTGGAATTATAAAGACGCACATTTTACTGAATTGGTGATGGAAGTGTGGTGTATTAAGAATACGGCAAAGCACACTAGGGCTATCTGCCTAAGGGGAGGGATGCCTTCGTGGAGGACTTTCTAAGGGAAACTGGCTCGTATACACGTTACACATGGGGAAAACCACGAAACACGAAAACGCCCATCCAGCCAGCCCGTTCGCGGGATTCGAACCTCGGACCGAACTACCAGTGTTCAGCGATTTTACCGCTCGGCCGCTGGTGGGTCGAATTGGTGATGGAAGATATTTTAAATTCTGGTAAACTGGAGCTTCTGTATGATGACTCAGACGTCCCACTCTATCTGCACTATAACGGTAGTGAAACCAATCCAGACTTGACTTTAGCTTTTGCAGACATTTCCGATGCTGCTGGAAAAGAAGTAATTTACGATTCTGGCTCTGGCCATCGCATGATTGTTACTACTTTCAATTTTACCTCTAAGAAATCACTAAGGAATTCCGTTAGACACAGATGGAATTTTACTAAAGCTAACCGGAATGCCTTTACCCTAGATCTTGAATTTATTTTTGGATCTACTTCTAGTTTCTGTGAAGCAGGCGAAAGTATTGATTGCACCTTTCTAGATTTATTAATATTGTTTTCGATATTGAAAAAAAAATGAATACCGAGAGGCAATCAATTTATCTATAAACCTTTCTGGAATGAAAGTCTTGCTATTATCAAAGAAAAATATTCTATGTCTCGTACTGCTGCTGCATATTCCAAGAGACCTGAAGACATTCAATACTGGAGAAAGTGTATTGCGATCCTTCGTAAAGAAATTCTTTCTGCTAAAAGAAACTGTTTCAATGATTTTATTTCTAAAACTGACTATAGGAAGGATGGCAAAAGACTTTACAACTATGTGAACAAATTATAGAATAAGAAGATTGCATGTATTAGAAAGCTGTTGAAAATTGGTAGTCGTGTTTTAACTAATGACAGAGATATTTCCAACGCTTTTAATTCTTTTTATTCTTCTAGACAACGCTTGAGGAGAGATCTCAAGATCCAACAGAAGTTTATTAGATGGGAACTTCGTCATTCTGCCTCTTCCCTAAATTGTGAACACGAGTTTTTTATCAAGACTTTAATACGGCAGAACTTATAGAAGCTATTAGATATTTCACGAGTGGCAAGAGTCCTAGTCCAGATAATTTTCCTTGATTTCCGGAGGCACGTTGGCAGAAATACACTATCTGTATTATTGGAGCTGTATAACTACGGTTGGAACACTGGTGTTCCAGCGATTTGAAAAAAGGCGATCATCATTCGTATACTTAAACGTAATAAACCTCCGAACAATTTAAATAGATATCGACCCATTTCTTTAACTAGCGTTTTATCCAAGGTCATGGAAAGAATGATTACATCTCGTCTGAGTTGGTTTCTCGAGTCTAATAACCTTATTTCTCCAACTCAGGCCGGATTTAGAAAATGGATGCTCACAATCCAACAAGTTATCTTGCTGAGTCAGTCCATAAAGGACGCTCTCGGTCAGAGATGCTCTGTTTAGGCTGTGTTTGCGGACTTTGAGGCTACTTCTGATAAAGTTTGGCGACTCAAATGTATCCAGAAATTACAAAACCTGAGTGTGTGTAATAATATGCTCTCTTGGATCAGGAGTTTCCTTTCATAACGTTTCTGTGCCACTCGTTTTGGTAATTCTGTGTCCAACTTTAAATAAAATGGAACTGGCTTACCACAGGGCACGGTGATTAGACCTATTTTATTTAATATCTTTACTGATGACTTATCGAGTATCTTTATTTCCGATGGATTGACTAACACTGCCATTTTTGCAGATCTTGCTATTTGGTGCAATGCAATTAAAGATGATCAGTCGAAGCTAAATACTGTCCTGAATAAGTCTCTTGAGAGGCTGAAGTTTGGAGAATAATATGACTATAAACTTAGGGAAGACTACTAGTCAGTATTTTACTTTAAATAGACAGCCTTTCACTTCTGATCATGTTTATAGAGAGGTTCTCCCTTGCAGTATAAATGATGTTTCAACTTATTTGGGTTGCATTTTTGATAACAAACTGAAATGGACTAAGCATATTGAATACATCATCTCAAAAGCAATGAAGAGACTCCCCATTCTTAAGAGACTAACTGGTGCTAAATAGGAATGTGGCAGAGCTACCCTTAACACTACTTATAAGACGAACGTCTAGCCGGTTTTAAATTATAGCAATGAAGTGCTGGTCTCTGCCTAAGAGTCTTGGGTATGCTTGATATTTAAAACCAGGCTTTACGCTTGATCAGTTGAGGTGTTAAAACTACTTCCGTACTTGTTATGCATTTGTTTTGTGACCTACAGCCAATGACTAACCTGGTTTGGAGGAATGCAGCTATTCTTTATAATAGACTTACTAGACTCCCAAATATTTCTTTTTGGCGTGAATACGATTGTAACAGAGTACGAAATCTAAAGACGCTTAGGAAGGGCTTCACGCAAAATGCGGCTCAGGATGTCAACGCTCATAATGCCATTAATGAAAAAGGCCTATGAACTTGTTAACTCATATAAATCGATTGGAGTTTATGGTTCTCGATGTCAGACTTGGACTTGCTTTTGAATGTGAGGAAAAACGACCTATGCACAACTGCTCTTCGTGAAATCGCCTTTGGAAACCATTAATACTTGCTATCCCTCCTGGTGTAGTGGCTTCATATTTACACTGATGGCTTCCCTTTTGGAATTTTATCCAGGGTGCTGGTGCTGGCGTCTTATGTGATGTGTTTTCCTTTTACCTACATGGTGGCTCTCATACTACCGATTTTGACGGTGAAGTCGAGGCCATCTGTTTAGCCCTTCAACAGCTTTCTGGCCGTCTCTCTCCTCTTGATAAGGCTGTAATTTTATCGGACTTAAGTTCTGCTCTTCAGGCCTTAGCAAGTAACCTAACAAAACAACGTGCTCGTGTCCAGAGCTGCAAGGCGCTGTTGAGCAGAATTCAGACAAAGGTTGTTTTCCAGTGGGTGCCATCACATTGTGGCCTTCAGGGAAATGAGATGGCGAACCTTTTGGTAAAAAAAGGTACGATATTCTCTAAAGGTCTTCCAGAGACCTGTTTCTTCACTCTGCTAAACTTGAAATCAGTAGGATTTATAAAAAAATCCTTTCGTAATAATGCTATTGGTGCTACTGAAAATAAGTCATAAAGGGTGTTATTAAAAGCCGACTGTGTCTTGGACTTTTCTCATGCTACTGCTGTGGCTGAGTTCAGACTATTGACTGGACATGACTGCCTCGGTGCTCATTTGTTTCGTTTTAATCTGACTACCTCAATTTGTGCTTTGTGTGCAAGTCATGGACGCTGTTCATCTGGACGTGTTCTCTGCACTTAAGAGTTTGGACTGTATTCTAAAGAAGTATTGGAGAGTTCGTTGCCTAATGATCTGATGGTCAGTGGCTAGGCATTTGATAAATAAATAAATAAAATATCACGCTAAATCTATTATGAGGAATAACATTAAATAAACTAATAAATAAATGAGATATTTTATTGAATACCTTATTAGGATTTTAAGTTTTTACTAACGTTTATTTTATTTTAAACTTTGTTATCCTCTCTTATTTTCCATTTCCGGCCAGAATAAGCGCGAGTAGGAATTGTTTATGTTAACTAATGAGGTTGCAAACTATATAGATATTTAAGAAGTAGCTTCTAGCCAAGAAAAGAGAGCCTTCCTGCTACCCTGCCACAGGCGCGTTTTTCAGTTCATATTTGGACTCATTTTTAACGAATATTTAGTAAGTCTAGTAATGCAAAAACTGTTAGAAATATTTTAAGAAACGTATTACATTTATTTTAAGAAAATGTAACTTTTATGACCGAATAGCTAGAAGGAACGAAAAAAATCGAAAGACATGATTACAGTTCACTAAGACCTGTATTTGAATGCGGCTATATTTGAAGAAGAAAGTAAATTTAATATTCTGGGAATGATTAAAAGGAAAGAGTATGGCAAACACTCAATACAGAACCTCAAATGAAAAATCTTACTACTTCAGTAAAACATGATGGAGGTAGCCAAATAGTCTTTGGCTATGATAGTGCTTGTGGCGTTAAAGATTTACATTTTATTAATGGCAAAAAAGAAAATTTTATATATTTGGATAATTTAAAACAAAAAATACAGGACGTAAAAATAGATAAGATTACGAGGTATTTTCTCTCTGCTTTCTTCACGTCGTCGTGGTGTAATTGGAAGCATACTCGACGCGTATTCGAGAGGTCTAGGATTCGAATCCCGGTGAGAGCATTGCACATTTTTCACCTCTCCTGCTTCAAAAGAACACCTTAGGATCTACAAGATTATCATCGGAAGCATAGTGCTGATATTTGCAAGCTATGGACTTTATATAGCCTATCCACGTGCAATCAAAATACTTATGCGTAATCCCGACTTCAATCCTATTCAGAATATTTACAAGACAATATTAATATATCAGTAATTTCCAATGGAAATGTACTTGAAGAAAATCACACAAAATAGGAAAAAAATAGAAGCAAATCTTATGAAATCCGTGCGTAGAAGTTTCTGTGAATTCATGGAAGGGGAAGAAGGCTAATACCTTATCAGAGCAATTTGTATTTTTTCAATAATATGTTTGTGTGCCTTTACATTTTTTACCATTACTTTCTCTTTTGTACACAATATAAAATTTAATATTTATTTAACTCTATTTTTAATTAATTTTAAGGTTTTTCGATTTCGTTCACCTCTAACTGTCACACCTTTGTATAACATGTCATAAAAGTATTTCAAAGTGAAAATTTAATATTTAGTTATTCTTTCAAAATTTTTTTCTGAAAGCTTGTTCTACTCCAATACGATTTTCATGCATTATATATCCCATGGTAAAACCGGTAATGGGAAGTTACCGGTTTTTCTTACGGTGCCCCCTCTCCTTACGCTCTTAAGCATCTTTTTGCAGTGTCCTCTTTATCTGATACTCTTAAGAGGTGCTTATTTTGCTTAATGGTTAATTCACCTTTCATACGAGTAATCATTTCTTTCTATCTTATGATGAAATGCACTGCATTTTTTTTTTCAGTATGTAACTGTATTTCTGATTTATCCTTTATTTAAAAAATTGCTTTCCAGTGCACACTCTCTTTTGTATGCATGTGATGCATATTTATGTTTAAAATATTTCATCATTTAGATTCATTCATCACCACAAATTAAAAATTATTTTCAAAAGAATTCAGATTCATTAAACAGCATAAATTAAATAAAATCGTTACATTTTGCCTTTGTTGTTGAACCCCTATTTTCCTTTATTCAAATATGGTAAAAAATTAAATTTCCTCTTTCCTAGAGCATCTCAGAAACACGTATATTATAAGCACGAAGATATGCTGCTCTCCTCTGCATCAACATAAAATGTCTTTTAGGGATTCTAGGAATAATCCTTATAAATGCAATTTTTTAGTGTAATAAAATGCTTTTTAAGATGTCATACGCTTTATCTAACCTCCGTCTCATTATTGTGTCAAATAATTATTGTCAGTCATTAGTTACGGATTATTATATTAGTCTTTAGTTACGAATTATTATCTTAGTTACGGATAATCTCTTGGTTATTTGAAATAGTATAAATTTAGTACCAGAGAAGGACTATTTCAAGATTAGAAAAATCGAATGTTCGCGCTTCTTTCATCATCTGAATACTAATCTAAGAAACGTTAAGTGTTTTAACTAAAAACTTTTATAAGTAGTTATATGTTGTTGCTGTTGCAATTTATCTCATTTCTCTGTGTGATCACTTCTGTTATCTCACTTATGATTTATCTCACTAACAGAACAAACCTATGAAATTCATCGTGGCAAGGAGTGCAAGATTGCGCCTGTCATTAGCAATAGTCTTGAGCACCATGCAGTTAACAGTACGGCTTTGCTAAGTTAGTAGTTATACTGATATCAAATAAAATAATTAAAAAAGCGATTATTGCAATTATAGTGCTATCTAATTCACCTATTTAAATCTGTAAAATAACAACACTGAATGCCGTATTGTAGTAGTATGCTGTCTAGCGAAATCTGCCGGAAATTCCAAGTAATTGGTACACTACTCGAAAATTTTAGAAACTGTCGTTCTTTTCGTCTTGATGATTATGGATATAGATAACCAACTATTAATATGTGATGCGAGTTTCCACCAGCTTATGGGCATGGTATATAAATGCTGCACTACGCATATGTCTGTACTTATCTGCAATCTGAATTGTACATCTAAGGTTAATGAAATCTGAACTGTATTTACAAACATTCCTCACAGAATATATTGAAAAAAATGAGTCTCAATATTCAAGAATTTTATTTTATGCGAGTATAACTTTAATAAAGAGAGAATGTTTTTATAAACTATATTCCTAAATTTGCTTTTCACTAAATGCAAAATTTCAAATTTCTCTTTAGTTTTAATATGAAACCCTGAATTTATTAAATAATAAACATTCCCCTCCTTCTCATTCTTCCGTATTTCAAGTGTTCGAAGGATTTAAAATCTTTTAGGATTCAGATTCGAGAAAATACAGTATTCATCCTTTCTCTACGTTGCATACATGTGAAAAATTTAATTCTGGTTAACAAGGAAAGGGCATTTAAAATTTTGAAGTATTCTACAATTAAGTACAAATACAAAGAAGAATTCTATAAAGACTTAATGTACCATTTCATTCATTTAAATTTACAGAAGAACCTAATCTTCTTCATACACGTTAGTTATTTTTTACTATTATGCAACTAAGTACAGTTTTGTATTTCCAAAGGCTTTGCGTTATCATATACCGTTTTCCAATGGAAATATACTGATATTTATTTTTATCATTTAGCCTTTCATTTTCACTTTCACTGCCGCCTTTTCAGTTTTGTCTTTATAACGTTAGACTAACAAATTCACATCTCTGACTTTGCCAGTTAAGTTCAGAAACTAATCTAAGTGCAGCTTTCTGGTACAGCTACAATTTATTAGCGTTACAGGTAAATTTAATTTGTCACCCTTGCAAATTTATTTAATAAGCTTTCTTTCCAGCTAATTCCGATGTACATTATATATATTGAAGAACGAGTTATTCAAAATGGTTGTACCGATTTCAGATGAGTATAATTTTGCAATCCTATATTTATTGAAAGTGTGTTAATTTGATATAGATTAGTGGTTCTCAACCTTTTCTGCCCCAAGCACCCCTTTAATTGCTACTAGAAGTCTCACGCCTTCTTTCCCTAACTCATACGTTTATTTAGATTTAGATTACTGTTTAACGTGTTTTAATAATTAAACAGCAAGAAGTGCAGAAAATATTGATAAATGGCAAAACTTGAATAAAGTATACTAATATTTGTATACTAAAACTGAATACTTAACAGCTAAATAGGAGGTTGACCGTATTCCCCTCTCTCAAATTATGAAATTCCTGTCCCGCCGGTTGAAAACCTCTGATATATTTCAAAGGAAGCAAGGATATTTTGATATTTAAGATCATCACCTAAATGAAGTGTGCGCTCATCGTTGGATTAGTCATAATGGATATTCAATATGACCAAACTGAGATTAGCTTTTTTTTCACTAGATTTTATATTATACAAAGCTTTTCCCTAGGAATACTTAAAAAAATACCATTTTCATTGAAACTTTGGAAACAAATCTGTACTTGTCGTTTTAAATGATTCAAATATTCATGTTTTGGCATTTTTAAATTTTAAGAAATCAATTCCATAAAAATTTACGAAATCTAAATTTTTATACGGTCCTCCGGTCCTTATATTTATATTTAGGAAAACGTTGCACTTCGTTATAAAAAATAAAACGCAGAAGATGTGAATTCCTTATACCTTGACCTTGATACAGATATGACAAAAATCGATTGAGATATCTGAAATTGAAACAGAGGATTATTTTGACTTCAAAGTTCAATGTATCTGAACCCTTTTTTTAAATCTCATAAATCATTAAAATTAGATTAAAAGATTTGAAAATAAAAATTAAAGCTTTAAATTTAAAAATAAGACCAAAA